AATCGCCTCCCGGGGACCCAGGCATCTCCTCCCCACATCTTTCAGTCTCCTCTTGCTAGCTCCACCCTACGAGAGCTCAGCTGGGCTCTGTCTCGGTCTCTCTGGCCTTTTCTGGCTCCAGCTGCACCTTCTTTTCTCCAACTTCCTTTCAGCACACATGGCTTGCGTGTCCCTTGGTGCTGTATTCCTTCCTTGGCCCGTTCCTTCTCATTCTCCATCAGCTCTCCTCTTATTGTCAACTTGTTTCTTTTTTTCTCCTTAACTCCCACATCTGCTGCTTATTCCCTCCAACTCCAACCCTTTTCCATCTCCCTCTTCCTGTCCCCCCATTCAAGTACAAATATTTATCAAGCACCTACTATATGCCAAGCTCTGAGTTCTTCACCTCTCTTCTTTTTCTCTCCAGGACTCCATCTCACCCCACCTCACCCTCCAGCCCTCTTGTCTGGTTTCTGCCCTTTGTCCCTGCCACTATCTCCCAGCAGTCCAGCTCCCTCCTCCACTGACCTCCTCCCACCCCCCACCCCTTCCTGGTCTTTGGAGAGAAGGGACACTCTCAGGCCCTCTCCCTGCCCGTTTCCTTCTGTGATGTACTTTAACCTCAGTACCTTTTCTTTTCTAGTTCCTTCCTTCTTATCAGTCTCCTTACTCACCCAAGCTGAGACTACCCCTCTCCTCAACGTAGAAAAAATGTACTCTTCTTCCAGTGGAAACTGGGCATTAGGGTTGCTTTCTTGAAAAAATAAGTGAGGAAGAATGCTGATTCCTCTGGGATAAGCATGCCTCCTTAATTTTGTAGTATGTGCCTAGCTCTCTCTCCAGCCCCTGCTGCCCTCTCCCCCATACTCCCATCATCCCCTTATCAGGATCATTCCATCACTCCTCCCTTCTTGGTCTCCACTTCTGCCTCTCAATAGGGTTTTTCCCTAAACCTCTACACGCTTCCCGAACACTAACCTCCCCTGCCGTAGGCAGCTCCTAACTTCTCACCGTTCCTCACTGAGTCACGTGGGACCTTTTATCAGGATGTTGTTGAAGAACCCTCAGCTTGTGTCTGGCCTCCACCCCCGCTAGATACCTTTGCCCTGAAAGAGTTTACACGCCCTGAGGAACAAGATGTAAAGAACACTGGTAATGGGAGGACTGTTACCTAGTTCTGCTCCTTGAGCCACAGTGAGGGCCAGTGACTGTAGAAAAGGCCCAAACTCGTACGAAAGGCCCAAACTCTGAAGCAGCTTGCCCAAGTCCCAGGGGTCCAGCCCAGGAGGAAGACCCCAGTTCTGCGGGGCACAGTACAAGAAGGAAGGGGCGGGCCTAACCCCTTTCCGCCGCGGGTCGCCTAAAAGGGGGTGGATCTTGCCTCTTCACCCACTCACAAAGGGGTGGAGCTAGACCTTTTCGGCTCTTAAGGTTTAAAACGGTGTCTAGGGCAACTCTGTTCTACTCTGTGTCACATTAAAAAGGGGATGGGCCTTTACTTCATTTCTGCTCTGTAAATCACCTAAAGAGGGGCGGGCTGAGTCGTCCAGCCGAGGGAGATGTTAACACCAGCGCCGCAGATCGATGCTCGCACCATCCAAACGTCGGGCTAATCCCAGTTCTGCTCCCTTCTTCACTAAGAGGGAGGGGCGGACCCAAGTTCTGCTCTTTACGTCACCGAAGGAAGCCGGAGCCATTTTGAACCCTGCAACCCTAGCATTTGTCCTCTTTTCCAAGCTCTTCGCCGTCTTTTCCGACCTCGGCCAATCAGGGGCGAAAAAAACGGCCCAATCAGTCGAGAGAGACCGCAGTCGGAGGACCCGGATGAGGCCAAGACAAGGCTTTTGAACCCCAAATCCCGCCAATTGTAGAGCAGTCACCATGGCGACAATATAGCGGTGAAGGGGTGGGACCAGAGAAAGCTCAACTCTCATAGGATTGGCCCACCCCTTCCCTCCTCCTACTGCGCACGCGCGCTTTACCTGGCCTCCATTTTCCGTCGAGTTCTAGCCAATTAGTTGCTTTGGAGCTATACGCTCCAAAGTCCAAAGGAATCCGGACGTTCTCTGAAAGAGGAAGTAAAAGGAAGACAGGGGCTTGTAGTGGGCGAGGTCTAAGTAGCCTTGAGCCAATTGCTTCTGGCCTTTGGTTATGACTGGCAACTACTCAGACGAATAAAGCCCTCCCTGGCCGGGGCGACAGGACGTATGGAATATTTACCAATCCCATGGCATTGCAAACTGACCGTGACTGTTTTAGCCAATAGTCATCGTGCAAGGGCGGGACCGCGTAAACCTCTTTCCTCCCCCGCCCTTTGGACCAGTCCTTTCTTTCGATTCTGTATGATTGGCAGGCACTGAGACCAATAGTGATTAGAAAACCTTGAAGCCTGCCAAAAGATTGTGGGCAGGAGGCGGTTTCTCGTTTGTTGCGGCGTCTGTATGTGTGTTTCGGGGGATTAAGGGGCACGCGGGGGGCAAAACAGTACCGGCCATGGCAGCAGCGGAGGAGGAGGACGGGGGCCCCGAAGGGCCAAACCGCGAGCGGGGCGGGGCGGGCGCGACCTTCGAATGTAATATATGTCTGGAGACTGCTCGGGAAGCTGTGGTCAGTGTGTGTGGCCACCTGTACTGGTGAGAATCTGAGAGGGGTGCGAAAAGGAGTGGGGCTCAAATTTATACTGGGGAGACTGGGGCCGGGGGGGGACCATACAGTCATACAAATAATCGGAGGGCACATTCTCATAGGTGAGGCTTGAGGGGGGTTCTTACGTGTTTTGGGGTATGTGTGGGCGAGAGGGTCACGTCTGTACAGAGGAGAACTGTGGAAAGGAAAGTCATAGCAACTAGGAGCCAACCTAGTTGTGTTAAGAGGTGCGTTAAGAGGAAGTGGGGCGCAGGGGGTGGGCACTGCACATCTGTGCAGGCGAGACGCGAGCCACCTTACCCCAGGGAAGGGAGGGGTCTTAGCTGTACAGGTGGGATCGGATTAGACTCAAAGGTTAGGGGAGGCACGCATCAGTTGAGTAGGGGGACATCTAGGGAAGGTGGGATCACATGCAGGTGAGATATGGCAAGGGGTGGTATGGGAAACTTGGGGACAAGGGCACTGTGGAGGGGCAGCCCCCAAAGGTTAAGGAGTTGTGGAAACAGGGACTTTGTTGGGCATAGGAGAGAGGAAAAGGAGTAGCGGGAGAAGGTGCTGGTAAAGGGGGTTTGGTCTGGGAGTGATGGGGGCAAGGGTAGGGCTGGGGCTGAAAGAGGAGACCTGGAAATGGGTGGTTGAACAGGACTGGAAATTAAGTCGAAAAGCAGAGAAGGAAGGGGTGAGGATTTGTGTGTGTGTGTGTGTGTGTTTGCTGGGGGAGAGAAGAGAGAAGAGGGTTGAGTATGTTGAGGATGGATGTAGCTTTAGGTGTTGGAAGATCAGAGAAGCAGCAAGGCCAAGTTGGCTAGTATGGTAGGGGTTGTGGAAAATATGAAAAGAAACAGCAGGTAACACCTGGTAAGAGGGGGAAAGATGGGACCCTGAGGTGGGGTCTGTGTCTCTCTTTTGTGTAACTGGTTTGACCTTTCTCGTTCCCCTTCCAGTTGGCCCTGTCTCCATCAGGTGCGTACGCAGAGGAGATGAAGAGGGAGATGGGGAGGTCTGAGGAGCTGGAAGACCCTTCTGTGTACTGGAAACCACTACATTTTTTTCCCCCAGTGGCTGGAGGCACGGCCAGAGCGGCAAGAGTGCCCAGTGTGTAAAGCTGGGATCAGCAGAGAAAAGGTTGTCCCCCTTTACGGGCGAGGGAGCCAGAAGCCCCGGGATCCCAGGTGAGAGAGGGGAGGTGATGCTGAGGGAAGGTGGAAGGTTCTGCTTGGGGAGTGGGGTGTGGAAGAGGAGGGACTACTTCCTGCTGATAGGCCCTCTCCTCTTCCTCAGATTGAAAACCCCACCCCGCCCCCAGGGCCAGCGACCCGCTCCAGAGAGCAGAGGGGTGAGTCTTGTCTGATTGTATTCCTTCCTTGCCAGAGACTTGCTCCGTTCCCCACTGACTTTCTTCGTCTCCCTAGGGATTCCAGCCATTTGGCGATACTGGGGGCTTTCACTTCTCATTTGGTGTTGGCGCTTTTCCCTTTGGCTTTTTCACCACCGTCTTCAATACCCACGAGCCATTCCGTCGGGGTACAGGTAAGAGCCTTCCCTCAGCTCCTACCAGCGAGCCCCCTGAATCTCCTCAGCCCCGCTTCCAGCCTAGAGTGGATGTTTCTTCCACAGCTTTCCTCTCTTCCACAGGTGTGGATCTAGGACAGGGTCACCCGGCCTCCAGCTGGCAGGACTCCCTCTTCCTGTTTCTCGCCGTCTTCTTCTTTTTCTGGCTGCTCAGTATTTGAGCTGTGTCTCCTTCCTGCCCACCTCCAGCCAGAGGAAAATCAGTATTGGGGGTCCCTGCTGACCCTTCCTTACTCCCGGACCCTCCCCTGTAAGCCCTCCATTTTTGTTGGCTAAGGGCAACCCTGGCCACTTTCCAGGAGGGTGTGGGGAGGAGTGACACCTGTGCATGGAATGGGAGAACCTTTGCTCTGAACTGCTCGCTCAGTCGCATCGTAACTCCCAGCTCTGGGAGAGGAGGACGGACTGAAGACAAGGTCTGTCTCCCCTCTCCTGATCCTTTGCTTTCCCCCCCATTTCTTGATTTGATGTTGAAAGGTGGGCAAGGCTCCCTCTGACTCTCCCCCATATTCCCCTTGTTGATTTAATTTAATTTTTCTCTCTCCGGTGTCTAATGTGGGTCCTGACTCGTAAGTGCTTCCTTCCCCTCACTACCTCCTTTATTACAAATTCAATAAACAAGTTGAGATGTATTCACGGGAACTCTGCCCACCTTTGTCCATCCCTCCTTCCTTCCAAGACAGGAGCATTTCTCTCCAACTTCAGTAGATGTCGGTGTGGTGTGGTGAAGCGTGGGGGTGAGACCCTCTCCTTCAGGGCTCTCAAGGGTGCAGGGGGTGAGGGCATCACACATACACAAGAGCAAATGTGTCAGGTGTTTACTCATCACTGTTTGTGAGAGGCTCTGGTTGTGGAAGAAAGTTTGGGGAGGTGGGGTAGAGATTATACAGGGGAGAACTGGTCTGGGGCCAGAAAAGAGGGTGGGAAAAAAAAAGGGAGCTGATGGATGGGGTCTGGCTGTGGGCTTCTCAAGGCCCTCCTGCACTGCTTTCTGCTGCCTCAGGCCCCTCGGGCTGATTCAGCTCCGTGCGCTCCTCCTCTTCCTCCTCCTGGTTTTCTGGGACCTTCCTGGGGAGAAGGATTGGGGAGAATTCTGCACATGGTTCCCAGCACTCCGTCATTTCTCCCCCCACACCCCTCCTTGCTGCCTGGAAGCCCTTAGTCGGAGGTGTCTGGCTTCCTCCACTCACCTCTCCTCTCCTCTGCGTTGCCGCCTTTGCCACATGATGACCCCAATGAGCAGGGCGGCTGTCCCCAGGCCTCCCAGGATCCCCAGGGCCAGGGGTAGAGTTCCCAGCTCCGGCCCTTCCACAGAGCCTGTAGGGAGACGGGGAGAACTGAGGGCACAGCCCTCACAGTTCCTTTCTTGTTGCCCATCCCCTCAGTCATGCTGAGGTCTGTCTGCTTCTCTCTGACTTTATCCAACCCCTCACCTGCGGTTGGCCCCTCCTCGCCTGTTTCTGGAAAACAAAGTCAGAAGGGAAGGCTTCAGTTTGGGAGAAGGCTAGTGGGAGCCCCGGCGGAGCCTTTCCCTTTCTTCAGTTTAGAGGGGAGAGGGGACAGGCTGGGCTCTTCTCTTGGGTTGTGTGGGGCAGAGAAGGCCTGGGTGTGGCTGCACTGAGGGAAGCATGGGGTGGCTCTCGGGGACAGTGTTAGCATAGGGTAGGGAATTGGAACCTGCACTGTCCCTCAGCTGCCCCCAGGGTCCCTGGGATTTGGAGAGAGGTCTCCTCACCGATGATGCTGACGCTGACAGCATGGCTCTCCTGGGGCCCGTGGCTGGGATGGGTGGCCACACAACTGTAGGTTCCCTGGTCCTCAGGCCCTACCTCAGGGAGGAGCAGCACGGAGCTGGTGGGAAGGGGCAGGGGCATGCCCTGGTGGGGAAAAGTGGACAGGAGACTTTTTTTTTTTTTTTTTTTTTTTTTTTGCGGTACGCGGGCCTCTCACCGCTGCGGCCTCTCCTGTTGCGGAGCACAGGCTCCGGACGCGCAGGCTCAGCGGCCATGGCTCATGGGCCCAGCCGCTCCGCGGCACGTGGGATCTTCCCGGACCGGGGCACGAACCCGTGTCCCCTGCATCGGCAGGCAGACTCTCAACCACTGCGCCACCAGGGAAGCCCCGACAGGAGACTCTTAAAACCCCTGCCAACACATCCCATACTGCTGTCTTTGCCTCCACATTATCAGACACCCTTGTACCTCCTCGCCTGCCTCGCTCTCCATGAAGCCCCTGCCCTCCTAGTTGCCAATGACGTATCTCGCTACCTGCCAGCCCCCTCTCCAGGTCACTCACATCCTTGATCCAGTGGATTTGAGGAGGGGGCTGGGCAGGGGCTTCACAGGTCAAGGTCACGGTACCACCAGGAGCTACTGCTCCACCTTCTGGCTCCACCACCAACAGGACTTCCTCCAGTGGCACAGGCTCTGGGGGTGGGGAGGGACATGAGGTTGAGAGTTACACCTGTCTATGGTCCCAGTGGCCATGGGCTTAACCCTCTCCTTCCTGAGGGTCATACCTTCCGACAGGTGCTCACCCAAGTTGGGGCCCTCCCCAGTTCTGTGCTCACCCCAGACCCTGAGCTGGATGGGGGCCGTGTGCAGGGCTCGGCGCCGGGGAAGGCCAGGGCTGAAGCTACAGGAGAAGGTGGGGTGGGGAGCTCCTCCCCGGTCTGGGGTCACCATCAGCTCCGAACGGAGTGTGAAAAGCCCTGTCTCAGGGTGTCTCTTGGTCTCCTCCTTCACAGACACTCCTATGGTGGGGGGAGGACAAGGCAAGACATTGCAGGGTGGGTATGGGAGAGCAATCAGAAAGAAGGCAGCTAGGAGGGGAGACGCTGGGACTCACCTTTGCCATCAGGTATCAGGGTTTTCCCATCCAAGTGCCAGCTAAGAGTCCCTGCAGGGTAGCCCCCCTTGGACACACATGTTCCCACCTGGGGAAAAAGTGACCTCATCGTCTTTGAAAATGAGAGAATGCACACACACACACACAGCTACACTCCCCTCCCATTCTCAGGACCCCTTTCCGCATCTCGCCTTTTCTTCTACCTTATCGGGGACACCAGCCATGAGTTCAGAGGCAGGATCAACAATTTCTGGCTTCCCAGGAATCTCTGAAGGAGGGAAAATTCCAATCAGAGGCTGCAGCTTTGAAGATACACCCCAGCTGTGGGAATGGGGGCAGCTGAAGTCAAGTTCTCACATGCCAGGGCCTGGGAGTCAAGGGCTGGGGTAGAAGGCTTTTCCTTAGATGAGAGGTGGGCTGTGAACAAGGCCCTGGAACGCTTACGATAGACTCGGACTCGGTAGTTGGACTTGGTCTCCTTTCCATTCCGGCTCATTGCCCGGCACCGGAAACTCCCCTCATCCTGGATCCCAACAGCCGGCAGGAGGAGGGAGCCGTTGGGGAGGACACGAGCCACGCTATCCCAGGGGCCTCCCTGGGGAGATAGGACCTTCCAAGCTTCTGTCCGGCCTGTGTTCTGGGGACAGAGGAGAGGGGCCTCAACAGTGCAAGCCGTTTGGGAAAGGGCTCATGAGGTAGGGAGGTAGGGAGGTGGGGAGGAGGAGATGCGAATCGTCATTGGTCTCTCCGGAAGTGGGGAGACAGGAGCCCCACTTACCAGTTTCCATTCCAGCTGCTGGGGTGGTTTCTTGGGGGCCCCCTTACAGTTCAGCACCAGTGGCTTCCCGATCCTGGCTGTGATGTTTTGATCCCCTACTACTGCCCCTGGGAGACAGCACCACAATGGAAGGGCAGGAAGGGAGAATGGGAGCTAATAAACCTATAACAGGGCGGATGAAGGAGATTGAAAAGCAGTACCCAGGTTCCTGGAAAGTTGTGGGGAGTTTCGGGGACAGGGGCAGAGTGCTTTCTGCGGGGAGGATTGGGGGGGGGGGGGGGGGGGCAGGGCTCACCCCACAGACTGAGGACCAGCACCCAGGCTCCAGCTGCTGCCCCTGCTGCCATCCTGCTTCCTTCCCAGGCTCCTGGCTCTGTCTGCCCCTTGCTGCTGTGGCCACCACCCTAGGTGGGGCTTGTACCCTCTCCCCTGCCCCCATCTCCCCCGTCTTGTCCCGTCACAGGGAATGCTAGGAATTCATGCCTCTCTCAGACAAGAGTCCTTCAGGTACTGGGAGAAACAGCTGTCACCCCACCCCTGGGCACTGCCAGCCTCTGGGTACAGCCACATCCATGGGGGTGGGGAGTGCATCTCCTAGGGTCTCTTCATCCCCTCAGGACCCCCAACCTATTGCACCAGACCACCCAGGGCTACTGGACGACTAGGCGAGGTTGCTAGGCAACAGGGTTCAGGTCTGGCTGTTTCCCATGGAGAGGAGGCAGGGGTGAAACCTGGGGCCTGGGTGGTGAGGTCAAGGCCGGGGAACTCAGGGGAAAATCCTGTTTGGGGCTTTATGAGAGAAAAAAGGTTCTCATGTTTTTGAAAAGAATTCTCAACTAAACCCAGGGAAAAAAGAAACTTCTTTATTTAAAACTGCGTTTTTTGTTTTTTTTTTCTGTGAAACTACAAGTTTACAAGTGAGGAGAGAACTGCCCCAGACCCATGCCTCCCACCCCCACCCATCACACTCCCGACCTGCCCCCCAGTCCTGCCTAGATCTTTGACGGGAGGGGTTCCCCACTGACAGTCTTGTGAAATCCTGAGGATATCTGAGGAGTTCAGATAGTAGGGTTCAGGGCCGAGGGTGGGACAGTGGTCATTTTACCTTCCCTCATACCTGGCTTTTTGCAGCCTCCCTCCTCTCTCCCCACCCTCTCGATTTTGGACTGAGAAAAAAAAAAAAAAAGATACCTCGTTTCTGGGGAAACTGAGGGAGATACATACACAAACACCCCAACCCATATTTAACATATTTGGCAATAACCCCCCTCCCCATTCTTCCCCCTCCAATCTGCAAATAGTGGTTTAAAAGAAAGATTTTAGATGTGTCACTCACAGGGGAAGGTGACATTTGCTCAAAATTACCGAGTCTAGCCCTGCCCAAGGGTGGTGGGGAACAGGCTGGCAGAGCAAGCCCTGACTGCTTCCACACCAAATGCAGCACAAAGCTGCCTGCACGAGCAAAGAACACCTCGGTGGCCCTGGAAGCAAAGGAGAACACCTAAGTGATTTCAGGGGGCAGGCTTGGTGCCCTGCTAAACGTACTTCCTGATGAACAGGAGTGGAGGCAGGCAGGCCTCTTCACCAGTTCTATTTGTTCCCCTTTTTCTTATCATGACCCCTTTGGCTATCACCCCTAATGTGGGAAAGCAAGAAATGAAAAAAAAAAATCAGCATATTTATAAAAACATCTACTTCCCCAAACTAAATTAAAAATTAAGAACCACCACCACCACCAAAAATCCCCGAAATAAAAATTAAAAAAAATACAGATGGATCCCAGGGTTAATTTTTCTTTCCTTTAAAAAAAAGTTCAACCCCAAAGCCCAGTCAACAATTCCCTAAAGTAGCAGAAACTCCCTCCGAGGTAGATATCTGAGTCAGACACTCCCGTCCACCGAGTGATTCTATTGGTTTAAGATGAGCTGCGTATGAGGTAATAAAGCCGTCTGGGGGGGCAGGGGGGTGGGGAGGCACAGGGGGCGTGGCCCATGTCCTCTGTCCAGAAGTCATGTCCCCATTTTTGGCATCTCTGGCTGGGCAGGGCTGGCATCTCCACAGATCCCAAAGCAGCTAAGTGGGGTGAGGGAAGGAGAGTGGGGGAGCCCAGAGAGAGAGAGAGAGAGAGAGAGAGAGAGAATAGTTGTACATGCGTGTATGAGAGAGGAGGAGAGGAAAACTCTGAAAAATAGGATTCTGGGTGCGTGTGTTTCTATGTGAGAGAAAAAGGGGGAGAAAAAAAGAATGAAAAAGGGAAAAAAGGGGGAGACAGACCCCACTCTCCCCTTAAGAGGCCCCATCTTCCCTGCCATGTAGTCAGCACCCCCAGCACTGAGACAGTCTGGCCAGGGAGGGGATGACCCCCGTTTGCCCTTCTCTATCTTGTGCTTCTCCTTTGTCTGGGTTTTGTCCTCTGGATGCCTGCGTCCTCTTCAAGAGGTGCCTTGTGAGCCCCTACCCCTGTGGCCCTGAGGGGCGAGATCAGTTGGAAGTGTCAGAATGAACGCTCCCTGGTCCCTCTGTCGGGGATGTCACTGAGGACGGGGTCACAGCCTCCTGCCAGCCACCGTTTGCCTGGAAAAAGAGGCAGACAGTTGGGGTAAGGCTTTAGGAAACCCAGCACAGGGGACAGCGCTGCCAGGGAAAAGGCCCTCCCATCCTGGTGAGAGGTGGAGAGAGGGGCTTCAGGTACTCACCCTCATTTCCCGAGGGCTATACATCTGGCCTCCCCCGAGGTTATCCCCGTAGCCCCCTGGCCCCATCGAGTGTCGGAGTGATTCCACCTGCAGGCAACAAAGGAGGATAGGACACGGTGAGAAGCCTCAAAGGAAAAGAAGTCTCATATCCTAAAGTAGGGAAACTGAGTTTGGGAAAGCCCTACTCAAGGCGAGATGGACCACCTGACCTGGGAGGCAGAGTAGGAATCTCCGTTGAGCCCGGGCATCCCCAGAAACATGTCACCGGATCCTGAGAGATTGAAAGAGCCGCCAGAGCCTTGGGGGAGCAGAGGGGGAATGAGGGAAGAGTGTAACAGAGCCTGTGATGGCAGATGGGAGGCTCATCACAGCTCTGAGTTTTCAAAAAGCCCCCTGAACTAGCTCTCTGGGGGTTGGGCCACCGTACGCAAATTCTCTACCAAACAACACTGCAACACTCAGAAGGAGCAGGCTGTTCCTGGGCCTCCCCTGGCCACTTGCTGGAGGAAAGGCAGAAGCAGCTTCACTAGAGTGGCCTCTGCCCCCTGATATCCCCACCCCATCTCAGCTTGGTCCCTCTCACCCCAGAAGGCCCCCTCTCTGCTATGATCCTGCCTAGATAGGAAGTTGGAACAAAAGCAGGAAGCGCGCAGCAACAGCCAGCCAGGGTGGCAGCGGGATCCACCTGCGGAGGAAGGGGGAGTCGGGGAGCTGGTGCGGCTGTGGCCTCCCTGGGTGACTGACACAGCGGTCTTGACGGCATAGATGTTTGCCTCCTCTTGGAACTTTCCAATATTTTTCTTATAGCGAATCCGCTTGTTGCCAAACCAGTTGGAGACCTGTGGGGTGTGGGGCAGAAAGGAGGGTCAGGGGGAACCTGTCCCTCTGTAAACACCTTAGTCAACAGGATTGGAGAGCGCTGTGCCCCCAAAGCCCCTCCCCACACCTCCCCAGTACCTGAGAGACGGTGATCCCGCACTTCTTGGCGAGCTCCTCCTTTGCCTCCTCACTAGGGTATGGGTTACTCAGGTGGGAGTAGAAATACTCATTCAGGACCTCAGTGGCCTGTTTGCTGAAGTTACGGCGTTTCCGTCTACAGGGGAGAGGGGGTGGTGAGGAGGATGCTGGTGTCCCGGCAGGGCCACCACGTTGATCAACTCCAGAGAGCACCACTGTCATGGGGTATACGGTGCTGTGTTGCACAACCTGGCGGCCCAGAGGCTTGGAGAAGGACGTGCAGGGGATGGGGCCTGGCCTGGGGCCCCGGGCCGCACCTGGCATCCAGGAAGCGGGAGCGCAGGATCATGACGGCCTCGCAGGTGCTCTGCTTCAGCTGCATCTGGATGGCGCTGAACTTCCGGTGAATGATGCCCACCATGCGCTCCATCTCCTTGGGCGCCACGGGCCGCGTGCGGCTCTGCTCCCTCAGCAGGTTCATGACATGGGTCGTGAACTCGTTACACGCCTGCAGTGGGGGCCCGTGCCCTGGTGAGGAGGAGCCCCTTGGCCTTGGGATTCCCCCTAAGGGCCTCTCCCTCCACCCACTCCAGCTTCCTCTCCTCACCTGCTCATACTTCTCCAGCTCCGAGTGGTAAATGTGGCGGATCTGGGCAAGTTTGCTGCGATAGTCCGAGTGTTCGATGGAGTTGTCAGGGGACACGCCGCCTCCGGAGGCTGCGGCGGCCGCAGCTGCTGCGGCTGAGCCACCCCCTTTCTCAGGCCCGGCCACACCCTCTGCCAGAAGCATGTTGTCCAAGCGCATCAGCTGTGGGTCCACAGGCTCCTCCTCTTGGGAGCTTCGAATGCTGAGGCCTAGCATGCAGGCGAGTGCACTTAGGGACCCAGGGACCCCACACCCAGCTCTCAGCCCTCCTGGTGCCTCCTGGAGACCCAAGCCTCCAGGCCTGGGTTCCCTCCCAGGCGCCCCCTTAGCAATCTTCCTGACCCACACTTTCCTCAGGGCCCCAAGTTGTCAAACTCGTAGCCCCAGTTCTATAGTGAACAGGGTTCTGTCCCCGGAGTTGAGGAATCGGAAGGGGTGACCCACGCACCAGTTTTCTCCTTGATTTCACACAGCACGCTAAAGAGAGCAGGCTTCATCCGGTGGCAGTTTAGGGCGTGTTTCCTTGGGAGCAATGGGAGAGAAAAGTTGAGAGGCTACAGAAATGGGGGAGTGGGAAAGACAACCACAAAGCGACACACCCATGAGGCTAAGAGAGGGGAGCCTGGGAACAAGGGAGGTGGTGGTAAATCTGTGGTGGGAGAAAGCAGGGTTGGAGGCCGAATGGAGCTGGGAGGTTCTTGGGAAGAGCTCAGCTCCCAGTGTGGAGACGTGGGGAAGCTGCTTGGCTTTGGCTGGACAGAGGGAAGGTGCAGCAGGCTAAAGGCACCGTGGCCGGGTGGAGGTTGTGGGAGATGGTCTAGAAGCGTACAGAGGGGATTTGGGGAATGGCTGCAGAAATGAGAGATTGGGTAAATTTCAGCGGAGACGGGAGGCTGGGGAGAAGAGTCAGAGTTTGAGGTGCCAGAGGGGGCTAGGGGTGCTGAGCTAAAGTGGGTAGCTCAGTATAGAGGTGTGTGAAGGGTCCTGGGACCGAGCAGGCTGGGGGCTCTGATGCTCCTATTGTCAGCTGAGCAGGGGCAAAGGGTGAGTGAGGGCCCTTGGAGGCTGGGCCATGCATGGAGAGAAAGGGTCACAGCCCTGGAAAGGGGTGTGGAGGCCCCTAGGATGAGGGTGGGCTGGAGAGTTAGGGGAGAAGACAGCATAGCTGTTTCTTAGTGTGGGAGCCAGAAGAGGGCTCTGGAGGTGGAAAGATGTTCCAGGGGAGTGAGTGAGTGTGTGTGTGTGTGTGTGTGTGTGTGTGTGTGTGTGTAGGCGGGGGTCAGTGACAGACCGGGGTGGGGTGGGAGTGAGACCACCTAGCGCTCCCCTTTTTGAAGGTTTCAGGGACTGGGGGTGAAGGAAGGTTTGAGAGGGATCACTTATCTTGGGGCTCCCGGGAGTAAGGGGAGGAGAGAAGAGCTGTAGTATCCTGGGGAGGGTCCTGGAGTTGGGGGGCTCCCAGAAGATTCAGAGCTTGTGAATGGGGCTTCTGCTGGGTCTGTGTGGGGACCGGGTTGGGGGCACTCACTTGGCCTGGGCCTCGTCCAGGCTCTGGTCGGTGATGGTCATTATCTGCTGCAGAATGTCCCCGATGTCTTGCTTCCCTCGGCCTCCCGGGACCCCCCCGCTACTCCCACCGGGGTCTCCACCACCGGGAGGTTCGCCAGGGCCCCCAGGCTCCCCACCCACCAATCCAAGGCCCCCCCGGCCCCCGCCTGGAGGGGGCGGCCCCAGCAGCCGCTCGTCCATAGTTGGGGGGGGGGCCCTGAGGCCCCCTCCCTGCTCCGCCCCCCCCCCCCCCCCGCGCCTGGTTACTTCCCCCCCAAACTCGCTGGGGCCGCTGCTCCCTCCGCCCCAACCCCCGCCCGTCTCCCCCCCTTCCCGGCTCTCCCGGGGGTTCACCCCGGCCCTGAAGGGAGACCTGGGGTACCGTCTGGGCCCCCCACAGGAGACCCCGGCCCCCGGCGGCGGAGAAAATGGAGCCGGAGAGGGAGAGAGAGAGAGAGGAGAGAGAGAGAGAGAGAGAGAGAGAGAGAGAGAGAGAGAGAGAG